CAGGGTGATGTTCTCTGTCTCACTGAAAGAACTGGAGCAATTCTCAGTGAGAGGGAAGGAAGCAGACAGATTCGGGGATGTGCTGTCAGTCATCTTTTCTCAGTAAATGTGGCTGTCCTCCAGGAAAATACTTTGGGAAGTGCTGTTAAAGGCAGATCAAAAAGCTATTTTAAAAGTTGTTAATTGGGGAAGTTCGATGCATGATATTTTAGGCTTTGATGTTGACAAGACTGAAGCGAGTTACACATCTGTACAGTGGCTTAATTGCTAATTAAAAAAATAAAATAGCTGGGAAAGGTGGGTGTTTGCGAAGGGCGGTTTTACAGAGGTAGTGTTAGGTGCAGCGCGTGGTGGAGAGCACTCGGTGGGATGGAAGCTTCTAGAAGTGCATGAGTTAGCACTTCGCTTCTGGACCAGAGCAAAAGATTTGAGATAAAGGCTGATTTAAATAACCGATCAAATACTGTTCAGATGCTTGAAATACAAACTGTGGAATGAGAAAGTTAGGAGGACGATGTAACTTGTTTCTCTGGGAAGTTTTTTTAAGTGGTCTGAACTGTGAACCTTAAAGATGGTCAGAGCAAGTACAGTAAAATACAATTCATAGGGAGTTAAGCTATACTGCTTCCCTCTGGCTATAGAATTGTTATTACAATTGGAAAAGACCTTTGTGATTGAGTCCAACCAGATGTCCTGTATGTTCAGCAAGCCTCTCATTCAACTGCAAATCCCAGCACTTCCCCACGCAGAAATAGATTTTTTTAATTTTAGGGCCATATTGGAATAACTTGTGTGAATGTCTGCATTGTCAAAATTACTGTATAACGACCTGTCAGGGATTTCAGGCCAAGACTAAAAGCTGTGGGCATTATCTGCTGTTACCTGCACTGAAGCAAGCCATTTACTTGCAAAGGGCAATTGCTTTTTTCCCCCCAGAATCACTGCTCTAGAAGACCAAAGCCCACTCCAATAAATGGGCAGATCCGGAGCTGGCTCCGTCTCTCCTGGAGAGCCGGTAGAGGGCAGTAACACAAAGGCTTGGCTGAATTCTGTGCGTTACTGAGATAGAGCTGTGAGGTGTAACGGGTGCTTGAAATACAAACTTCAAAACAAAGCTGTTTTAAAAACGGGTGCTTGAAATACAAACTTCAAAGCTGTTTTAAGATAGGTTTTAACACAAGTTTAACCTTTTTGGTTATGAGAAACGTATACTCCTTCATTTAAAATGGATCCTACCTGCCCAAGTATAGTCAGTATTTCCAGTATCATAATATCTGAATTCAATTCAAACTGCTGTTGAAAGGCAGCCTGTTTTGGGAGTGGAAAGAGCTGACCCAGCACCTGCAGCAGCATTTGATTGGAGAGGACAGGGCAGACTGCTGCTTTTTAATGAGACATCACGATGTTTCTACTCTTTGCAATACTCTGTGATATTTGTAAGGCACACATAACTGACATCATCTTCATCTTGTTTTTTTTCTTTTTTCCTCTGTAGGTTTTCTAAAGCATCCCGATGATAAATTTTAGGGAGCTCCTAATGTTGATTTTTATTGTCTCAATTAAAAAATGCAAACAATTAAAGATCATGTTATAGTTTTCCCTTGTTAAATGTCGTATGCTAATTATTACCTGCTCACTGTGTAAAGCAATTTGAAGTATTGTCATGTTTTTCAAAAGGACAGTGTAGACTTGCGTTAGTGATCTAAGACTTGGCAATAAATCTATATGCAAAGAATAAGAAACAGTCATTTCAATATTAATGCAGATGCTTAAATCTGTGTGTGGTTCATGCCCAAGGCAAATAATAACCATCAAGTTATATGCTTGTAAGAGAGAATGTGCCAATACTGTGTGAAACTTTAGAGGCAGTTGAAGTCTGACAATTTTAATTAAATAAGTAAATGTGGAACTGTTCATCATGTCCTTGCAATTATATAATCACATAAGGTTAAAAAAGCTTCGTTACTCCTAGGGAATTAGGCCTGAGCTTTGGGAAAGGGCCTCCTTCCGTAGGCTTCATTTACTTTCCTTTGAGGCTAAAGTAGGATTGATAACTGCTGGTCCCAGGTCTCTAGCTTGAAGGCAGGAGGATGCATTGCCAGAGCGCTGCGGTGTTACAGCCGGGAAGCTCGTCAGCTTGGCCTTGGGACAAAGCTGCTTGTGCTGGAACTTCTTTTCTGCTGGGGCCAGTGGCTGCCATCCTGTTTTTCTCATATGTTCCTGATTTCTGATGCAGAGGATGTCTTTGCAGGGGGCTTGTTTTCAGAGGAGGCTTGGCACTCGTAGGGCAGCTGGTGAATGTACCAGCAGCCACTGCTGGGTCTGCCCCGTACGTTGTCCCACAGGACAAAACTGGTGCCACATTCTTATTTAATGGTATTTAACTGAAAAGCCTCGTTTTAATTACTTTATGCCATCTAGTAATTTGAATTAGTAGCCTAAAAGTTAAATTCTTGGTTTGCAGTAATAGTTCCTCAGATTAATCATTCACATAACTTCTAAAGTACAGTAACTTTGAAAGAGAAGCTTTCAGAAACCATAGAGTATCTGTGGTTAAGTCATTTTCTCTAATATTAAAATGAATTTCTTTAAAAACGCTGAATGACACGGCCTCTTACACAGATTGCTTTTCGGGCACCTAGTATAGAAATAGGATAAAACTTAAGATTGTGCTATCCTCAAGGCAGGCTTACCCTGAATATTTGTGCTTTATAAATCTGATTGATCATTTCTAATGCAAAAATAATCTGTGATCTAAGCGTAAATAGTGTTACAACAGGATGAAACTATATGTATTTGTGCTACCTCCAAGGTGCATCTTGGAAAATGATGTCAAAAGGAATGTCATGAAGGCTGGAGCTAAACTACTTAGGAGCATTATCATAGGAGAGGAGGCTGCTGTGTCCCTAGCTGTTGTTGGAAGAAGGTTCTTGACCGAGTAGGGCAGATTTTTGGAACAGAGTGCTGCTGTTACAGAGCAGTGCAGAGCTATGGAGCAGAGCTACAGAGCTGGTTATTTTGCAGAGCACTGGAACAGCCAACGCTGCAGCAGAGCGACTGCCGTGGGAGCCCTTGCTGAGCAACACCAAGCTTTTAAGGAAATGGCTTTCCTTTTTTAAATAGTCACTGCCTTTTATTGACTTGTAAGCATAGAGATGCTTGCGGTTCCTACAATGTGCCTTATTTTTCAAGTAGATTTAGAAAAGAGCGGTGTTTTCATACCAGAATTAGGGAAACACAGGTTTTAATTCCCCCCAGAATAGAAGTGTTTCTAAGAGAGGACCGCGTTTCCCAGTTGGTGTGTGCCAGCAGTTCAGCAGTTATGGAGCAGAGAAAACGTGTAGCTTATATCAGTGCAGGTAATGTGACAGACAGCTTGCCCAGATGGCTTATTTTTAGCTAAGTGAGGTTGGTTTATTTTGGAAGATGATGTGTGATGATTTTTCCCTGGTAGTTTCTCATGAATCTTTCAGAGAAAATCACATAACTGTACAAGATAGCGGGGATAGTTGCTCTTTGGCTAACTGGAGTATGGAAGACTTCGCGGAGAGCGTGAAGACTTTGGCTCCAGGTAGCCTGCTGGTCCCGGTTGGCAATGCCTCGTCCTCATTAGGCTTCCTAAAATTCTGGAGAATTTTAGAGCAAGTGCAGGAGGTAGTTGGAATTGTAGCTGTTGCGCTTATTCAGTGTGAAGCAGGGAGGATTTATTGTAGATTTGCTAATTGGTTTTGAACTCTGCACGCTTAGGTAGTGCAGTGAAAGGTGGTGTGTTATTGCTGGAGGCCAAGAAGCCCAAAAAGACCAGGGACATTGAGAAGGCTGCGTTTTGCCTTGAAGCCCGTTAGTTCCCTCCATTTACAACTTTTTCCTTTTCCCACTAATTAAATTTAATTGAAAAGCTTGTATTAACGGCGTAACCTCTGGATCTTGTGGGAACATGTGTGGAAGTTGGTGCTAGGTTTATCTTCGTTTTAGCAATGAAGGCATTGAATATTTAGTGAACTAGGGTGGTGGTAAATACATTTTATCTGGTTTTAACATGTTAGGTCATACTTTGCATTGAACTAAAACATAGTTTTAATATTAAATGTTAGAAAACATTTTCTTGAGAAAGTTTAGTTGCTACATAATAATTGGCAACAATAGGGCCCACAGGCAATCATTTAATTCAGAAATGAAGCCAACAACTGCAGCTATGAAGCTAGAAAAAGCTATTAAATGTAGTTACTCTCTTTAAATTTTTTTGTAGACTGCGGTTCTGGACTATCACCAAGTTAGCTTCACAGAAGGTAGTTTGGGAAGGTTGCACTATCAGATATAGGTATGGTAGTCACATAAGTGGCTATCAGATTTTTCTGTTGAAATAGAAAATTATTGTTTTATTTGAATCCAAATGACAGATTTGGGGGAATACTGCCATTTTCATTCACTCTGTGTTCTTTAAAGGGTCTCATATATTCCTTGTTTCTTGGTTTATTTGTAAACGATTTTCCTAACTTGAAGCTTCTCTTAAATGTTCAGGTACAAGGTTTCTAAGTCATTCTTACATATGCTGTGTGCAGTTGCGTGAAATGCTAAAATTTCCAAATAGACCTGTTAATTGCGGGCTGGACAGAAGCTTGTTCTGAAGGGGGGAGAAATTACGTCACTGGGGGTTCTTTTCCTTCCTATAAGCAAGGTTGATTGTAACTACTGAGAATATGAATAACTTGTCCCTGACAGAGGGACAATTTAGATTTTAGCTAGAGTAGGATTTAAATATAAAGGAACTCCTTTTTTTTTCTTTTCTTTTCAAATTGGTTTCAATTCTTCAACTCTTATTAAAAATAGATTTTATATAATAAATAGATTTTATATAATTCAGTAAAAATGTCTATAAACTGTTTCAGATAAGCTATGGATTCTGGTAGGTGCTAGTAGATAATCATGGCTAGAATTTAGTTGGGGGGAGGTTGCTTTTAAAGAAAAATGCAGTGAGATGTTTTCCTTTGTCTCTGTAGTTATCAGAGACTGTTACAGACGATTGCTGTACTCGAGGCTCAACGTACTCAAGCAGTTCAAGACCTTGAAAGTTTAGGCAAACACCAGAGAGAAGCCCTGAAAGATCCTATTGGATTTGTGGAAAGACTCCAGAAGAAGGTATTTCAATGGGCATTTCTTAAGTTTTACTCAGTTTTTTTCTTTTTTTAATAACTACTAATTCATCATTGACAGAAACCAGGTAATTATATTCATATACATATATTATATGTATATACACACACTCACTTGTTTAGAAATTGAGTTTAATATTATTTTCTTACTGAGCTAGAGGACCCTGTGTTTTGGGTTTCATTATTAAATTTTAAAATACAGGTCTACAAAGATTTTGTTAGATATGCTTTCTTTTTTTGTACATAGGAATGTAATCTTAAAATTTGTGATGCAGCGTAGACATTTAAAGACACAGAAACATGTAGATGACTGAAAGGACTTTGTAGTAAGGTTTTAGTTGAAGAATTAATAACTTTTGCCACTAGAGGAATTCAATTTTTTGCTGTGAGTGAATTTGTTTTCAGGTAGGGAACTTGCATAGAGCAGGAAATGTAGCTCATAATTTAAAACTTAAATAACACTAGAAAAAGTACATGATGAGCACTGGATAACATGACCAGAATGTTGTGTGGTGAGGGAGGATGAGTTTTAATAGGAAACATGTTCCCCTTAAGGTAAGGGGACATGGAAAAATGTTTGAGACTTAAACTTTGTCATATCTTCTGATGACAGATAGGCTTGACCTTATAGTCTGAAAGCAATTATGTTGCTTTTCAGGGGAGAATGAGGTGGGTGTTTTATGGCCTTTCTCCAGGTTTGTGGAGCCATGGGCTTAGAGATGTTTGACATAGGGCCATTGGGTTCAGTAGTTGTATTTTCATTAAATTTTGCTATGAGTTTATAGCATTGAAGATATAATTGTGTAACGTTTGATATTGTATCGGGGAAACACTAATGCTAGTTGAAAGCATTGAGTGTATTTTTGTCTCTGAATCGAAGGAACGATGCTTGTTGTGAGACTGACCTTACAGTAAAGTGAGGAGCCTGGCCGCAGTTAGCTTCTAGGCAGAAGATAGGAAAATCAGTGCAGAATATACATTGGCTTATTTGAAAGAAAATTATGTTTTAGCAGTTGATAAAACTTGACATCCATGTTTTCTTGTATTTAAGAATGGTACAAATCATGGACAAGCGATAACTTAAAAGGCAGGGTGGGGGGGGAAGATACTCAAGTCAGAACATCGGATTCCATCTGAGAAATAAATGTTTTAAAGCCTTATGTCCAATAAGCCATCATTGACCGTGCCGCTGCATATTTTATATGCACAGTTGTGTGTTTCTCTTCAAAAATAACCTGCGCATAAAAGGGCTGTGTCCTGCATGGTGCTCTAAAATACTATGTTTTTTTTTTTTTTTTTTCATTCTACTGTTATCTAAAAGGGAGTTTAAGGGTTTCATACCTTACAGGGTTTCTTTTTCTTTTGGGGGGGACAACAATTACATTAAATACTGCTTTTCACTTTTTTGTGTTTACCACCCAGGTTGATATGGGTCTTCCATATCCTCAGAGAGTTGTCCAGCTCCCTGAGATTGCCTGGGACCAATATACCTCTAGCCTTGGGAACTTCGAGAGAGAATTCAAAAACCGAAAGCGTAACAGCAGACGAGTGAAGCTGATTTTTGACAAAGGTAAAAGAAGAATAAGGGTAAATTACAAGGAAAAAAATTACGTGTGTGCAGACGTAATGCTTCCTTTCTTGTGTTGCTCGCAGTAGGTATACCCGCAAGACCAAAAAGTCCTTTGGATCCCAAGAAGGATGGAGAGTCTGTTTCATACTCTGTATTGCCTTTAAGTGATGGTCCAGAAGGTTCTACAAGCAGTCGTCCACAGGTAGTTGTTACAAAAGGAAAGACAAATTTTTACAATATAGTAACTTTTAAATATTTTTAATAAGCGTGGGGATAATGTTAATTGTTACTTAAAAGTTAATTTTGGTATGCAAATCAGAGAATTATTCTGAGTTCAGGAAAAGTTTATTTCAAAATGACTTGCATTTATTTGTTTGGGTGGGATTTTACTTATGTAGGAAAAGGTTTAAGATTGAGATTCAAGCCTTCTTTTTTCTAAAGACCTATTCCATGTTATATCCTGTATTTAAACAGATGATAAGAGGGCGACTTTATGATGAGACCAAACCTGAAACTTTTAATCAGCTGTGGACTGTAGAAGAACAGGTAATGGGAAACCCTTCCATTTCTGTAATTGTAATAACATATGTGAGAATAAAAGCAGAAAAGGATAATAATGTTTCAAGAGCTTACAAATTGAAAGTCACATGTTTACATGGTTTTTTTATGGCAACTCATATCTCTACTAGGAAAGATGTATTTATATTTTGTATTGATTTGTGCTTGATTTAGAAAAAACTTGAGCAGTTGCTTTTGAAGTATCCGCCAGAGGAAGTAGAGTCCCGAAGGTGGCAGAAGATAGCTGATGAGCTGGGAAATAGAACAGCAAAACAGGTAAAAAGAAAAACGCTTGGAGGCGTAATCCCTTTCCTTGGTTACGTTTTTTTTGGCTTTGTAGGAGGCACTGGTAAGAGTTTGTATTCTGAACTGTTCTTCAGTTACTTAGTAATGTATTTCTAATTTGGGATTTGCAGAAATAACAGTTCATAAAATGAAGAGGAATTAAAAAAATGGGCCCTATGTTTTCTACAAGCTGTCGTACTGTTCATGATTAAAGCAGTAAAGCTATTTGGACAGAAAAAAGATTTGACTTCTCAGGTGTTCTTTGAATACTTTAGTGCCTAGGCCATCGTACTGCTGGTATCAATTCCTGCATCCTAGGAGTTGACACAGATTAAACAACAACAGAAAAAAGTTAGGCCCTGCATTTGGCTAGTAACAGATCCTGACCATTTTATTCATTGTCAAATCTAGAATTCTATGAGTGCCCCCAAACTCATGACAAAAGTAGTCTGGCCTAATTGCTTTTCCTTAGATTTTGACAGTATCCTTTAAATCTGTTTAGCAAGTATAGGAACATCAGTTGCTGTCAGATTGCACTGCTAAATTTCCTGCCGAAAGAGCCGTTCTGAAGTGCAAGTTCCACCAGAAAGAGCAGACATTAATATTTGCAGGCATCAGAATCAGTTCTATGCTGGGGCCTAGGTCTGCAAAGCTAGAAGCTGGATCTGGAGGTAGAAGTGTTTCCACAGATGGCTCGTAGGCATTTTCCCCCAAAATTGTAATTTTGTCCAGTTGATCATAGCTCAAAAATACTGATTTATTATGTTTTCAATATTTTGAGTTTTAGTAATGTGTTATCAGGTAAAACATACATGAATATTTTTATGTAGAGTATTGCCTCATCTCTGATCGTGTCTATACTTAAAGTATGTTTGCCCATAATGAAAAGCTAAAATGTATTTCATAGATATCATTCATATTTCATTCCTTATTTCATATATATGTAAATTGCGTATACAAGCTGTGCATAATTTATCTGTCATTTTTAAGAAAGAGTAAGTCTAGCAATACTAAACAACAAGCCACTGAAGTCATGTGTCTTCTCATTGCTTTTGCTTCTGTGTATTTTTAAACATTTTTCCCTGACAAAATACACTGCTTATATACATATATACACATATATATGCTCATATATGCAATAAATACAGTGGTATTTTTCTGCAAATAAATGACTGTTAGAGTAGTTTTTACAGAGTAGACAACTAGGATTTCCTGTGCTCGTGTTCTGTGCGGCGAAAGCCTTCTATTTCTCCTGACATTAAATCCTTGTATGTGCTTTTATCTAGGTTGCCAGCAGGGTGCAAAAATATTTTATAAAACTCACTAAAGCTGGTATTCCGGTTCCAGGAAGAACTCCAAACTTATATTTATACTCCAAAAAGGTGAGACAATATTACAGCAGAAAATTCATATTCCTGTTGGCATTTGTATGCAAATTGAATCAAAATCATTCATATTTTCGGTAGATTTAAGTCTTCATTAATGCTTTATTATTAACTAGGCAGGTTGTTATGCCTTGTCCTTATTTGTTACTTTATTAATGAAGTACTGTTGGCTATTAGCACTGTAGAGGAGGTAGAATGTTATTCTAGTTCCACATCGACCCGTATTAATTACATCTGTATTGGACAACCTCTGTGGGAGAGGAAGTGTCAGAAAAGAGCAGAGCAGTGAGATTGCAGGCTGAACTAGTTAGGGCTGAATGATTTGGTCTGGAGGTAGGTTTTTTTTTTTCATTTGTAAGTTGACTGAAGCTGCTCTAGGAGAGCTCTCCCGCAAGAGGCTAAAAGGCACAATACCTCATATCGTGCAGTCATCTTTAATTAACAAACACCAAATTATGTATGACTGAGCATACGAAACTAGCACAGGCGTAGTCTAAATTCTGCAATGTCATGTTCGGTTTTGATTTGCAATCTACACAACCATCTACAGTTGCCATGTATAAGAGATTTGATTTTTCCTCCAGAAAGGCTTTTTATCCACAGATTTTGCTCTCTCCTTTCTTTCCACTAAAATCTTGCATTCTTCCTGATCTTGATATAGGTGAGAAAGGAATGGATTCCTGAGAAACCTGCTTTGTTCAGGAAATTTTTTAAAAAATCTAGATTTCTGTGCAGATGCATCATATATTTTGATGTAAATCCTGTAGTACTCATAGGTACAAACGAGGACTCTAGACATTGGGTGTGTCTAAAAAGGGCAATCTCGGGGTTTTGTTTGTTTGTTTTACACTGTTATCTGAGTTTATAGAAATTCTTAGAACAAAATGAAACAAAAAAATGCTACAGTGACATTCTGTAGAGTAACATTGCTTTTTTGCATCCAGGTGTCTGTGGTGGCTTCTGATTAGGACTCAAGTAAACCTTATATTGATTCTGCAAAAAATGATGTTTGTAGATGTAGTCCCTTGGAAGTTCAGAATGGAAGGTTTCCCCAGGGGGGCCTGGCGGCAGATGTTTCAAATCTTGCCTGTAATATTTTAAGATGTTACAGATTCCTGGTTGTCTCCTTGTTTTCTCTGAAGTTATTGCTATATTATCAGGACTGTAAAGATTGAGCACCCCTATCTGATTCCTTATTGGAATTCAATTCATTAAATACTGTGGTTAAATTAATCTGATAGAACTCTGAATTTCTTGTTCCGGTTACCACACTGTGAGGCTGCTTTCAAAGGGATTTGAAAAATTAATTTTGAAAATTTTGGGAGTTATTTATATCCTCTTAGCCTTTTGAATGATCTTGCGTTAGAAGAGGTGCTTCACAAGGAAAAGCTATTTATGTTCCTCCAAGAGGACTGCCCAGTATGTGTTTTTTGAGATGATTACTGGAAATTTGAGAAGCCTGTTCAGCCCCTGGACTTCTTGCTGAAGATGCTGCATACGTCTTCTCGTATGACATAGTGTGATACAGAGGATTAAACAGGAGCAACCAGTTTATTTTGCTGTACAACCATAATCTACTCCTGATCAAAATACAACAGAATCAGAGTTGGATTTTTAATATTTGGTTCATTATTTCCAATTTAATGTTCATATTCTGTCATTAGCCTACTCAGGGATAATTCATTCATTCTGCATCAAAAGCAAAATCATGTTTTTTGAAGCAAAATCAAGAGATTTCAAATTCTCAGTTTAATTCTCTGGCCATAACTGTAAGCATAATGATGATACTATCCAAGTGCATATGTGGTTTTCTTCTATAGATTTCCAGATCTGAGTTGTTCTCTGGTTTTATTTTGGATAGTTTTTTGTACTAATAGAAAATATAAATCACTGTGTCAGTCGAGACTGAAACACTGCCTTAAGCTTCTAAATCCTAAATATTATTTGTGTATGAAACCTTGAAAGGAAACCAGGTACAGGAAGTCAGTGCTCATAAGACAGAAGGTGGAGAAAATTCAGCATTACAGGTACCACATTAGTATTTAACACCGGAGGCTCCAGGTTTTCCAGTTTTTGTTCCAGGTTTCATCTCTTCCCTGAAAAGCGAGCGGTGCCGATCTGCGCTCCTTTGGCTGCAGTGCCACGCACAGCTGCTACTGTGCACAGTTATAAAATAATGCTGAACTGTTGAATCCCTCATTAGACACAAGTGGTTGTATTATAGAGCAATATGTTTGCAAGTGTCTTTCTCAACCCTTGAGATAAGAACCCTTATGTAAAAGAGAAATATTTACTGCCATGAGTATTTTCTGTGCTTTCCCTTCACGATAGAAGCTTAAACAATGCATGAGAATCCTCCAGTTCATGATTATAGAAATTATTTTTATACTTCTGGTTTTTGATTCCCATTGTTTTAAGCTTTGGAATATGTTTTAACACATCAAAAAATGTGGTCTGGAAATATCTAAGGAAAAAGTTGAGCCAGTTTCATTCACCAAGAATTATTCTATTTGATCTTTAATATTCTTCCATGGGGAATAAGGGATAGAGGCAGAGTGCCTTTCAGTAACCTATTTTAAAATTGCTGTGCATTCTAAACCTGCAGACAGCATTAAAGTTGAAAGGTTTTAGATATGCACTAAGGGAGTAATTTATCTCATCTAACATTTTTAGGCTTCCTTTCCAGTCAGTGGAGATGAAAAAGTACCTTTAGAGAGCAATTCTTTCCAACTCTTAGGAACCTCTTTTATGGTGGAATGAATTACTGTTAACAATTGCCTTTTGTCTCCATAGAGTAGGGAAAAATCTGGACAATTAGCCTAGACTTGGATTTTTTTTAAGGCTCAAACCAATGCAGTAAGTTGATGATAAGGGTCAAACATGGACCAGTCTCCTGTGTCTTGGGACCTGTGCCACAGGCACCTTTGTCTGGTCTCAGAACTAACAGCAGCTCTGGGAAGTCTCTCAATCTTTTTGTGCTTCAGTTCTTAATCTTTAAAACGGTAGATTTTTTGTGTTAAGGGCTCTTTCTTACTGGGTTCTTACAACAAAGATATTCCTCTATTCCTCTGATTTCACTTCTTATGGGGGAAGAAAATTTAAACAGCCATGTGAAGCTCTGATATGGAAGCTTCAATAGAAGTAATTGGAAAGATGTTACATGTAGTATAAATGAGCAAATTTTTGATGAGGAATTATGTATGCTACCTGAAGAATGAATGTTTTCAAACATGTATCATTTTTCCACCATAGTCATCAAGTAGACGGCAGCATCCTTTAAATAAACATCTTTTCAAACCTTCAACTTTTATGACATCGCATGAACCTCCAGTTTATATGGATGAGGATGATGACAGATCCAGCTTTCACAGCCATATGGATAATGCAGCAGAAGAGGAAGTATCGGTATGTCCTTAAATCAGTTGCAGAATATCTTGCTTGCTGTTATCTTAACCTTGTTTAATGAATATGTGGATTAAGCATCCTTGCCCTAAGATAAATACAATGGGATAAGTATGGAAGTACAGCTAGATTCATGACCCAAGTTGCATTGCAAATGCATGGTTAATATAGAGACCCCCAAACGCAAAAAAAAAAAAAGAGAAAATCAGAATTGAAATATTTAGTAGTAGTTTGAAAAGGGATCTGACATGAAAGCAATTTGAATAGGTTGAATCTGGCTAAAGTTGTGTAGTGTTAGAAAAGTCAGGGCCATGGTAGAATGTAATCCCATTAGCATTGTTGCTTTTTGGCTTTCTTCACTGGCTGGATTAAATAGAGGAAGTTTTTTAATCTACTTTAAAGTATGAGCTGACTTAGTCCTCAAGCATTAAATGGGTATGTTTTTTAGAGGGGAATTCCAGTATGTATCCTAACTCAATGTTTCTAGTGTTCCCATTTTTTAAGTTAAGACATACAACAGGAACACTGCAGGAATTTGGGAAACAAACTTGGTCTTTCAGATTTCCAGCTATGCCGTTCTGTGCCGAGACCGTGTCCTCCTGGAGAGCAGGATTCTCAGCTCGGGTGAATTACTGTGGCTTTACTGTACTTAGGGTGAAGGGCCCGACTTGATGAATTTGAGAGCCTAGTGGCATCTCGTGTCTCAAAAGCTTGTTGCATGCCAGAAAGTATCAAGGCCACCCAGTGCAAGTCCATTTGTTCCTTTACTGACTTCCTTACAGCCACTGCATAGTCTGCCTCCTATTAAATCTGTTATCAGTCTTCAAGCACGTCTTCAGTCATGCTCTGTCTTCTCTCTGTGATTACACTCTTGTTCTGATAACTTAGCATCTTCCAATAACTGGCATGAAAAATGCATGGTAGTATTGTTCTTAGAACATATGGTCCTTTTTCTCTATTATTTTTAGAATACATATTTTCCAACTGCGTTCCAGCTATTTTCCTAAAAGTACTTATTTTTTCCTATGGTGTCGCAATTCTAGTAAAATATGGGCACCATGTAACTCCTGGGCTTTGTTTTCTTTTTGATGGAAGGTGCTGACATTTGCCTTCTTCCGGTCCTCAGGCACCTTTCCTGTTTTCTTGTCATGTCACCATCTCCCTTATTAGTGCAAAACAGAAGCAGACTGGAAGGAAAACGAGATCATGAACCAGAAATAAATGAGTAGTGCAGAATCCTGCTGGAATGCTGAAAGTCAGGCCTCTTGGTGATAGTCACCCCTCAGAGAAGGACGTTATGCACCACCGTGGTGGTGGAGGGGAGATTTGGTGTAGCAATAAAATTGCAGGAAGATTTTTCTTGGATAACTTCACAATGGAAGTTCAGTTGCTCTTCCCGTGTGAAAACAGAAGGTGCTGTTGGTAGAGTGTGTAGCTATTCCTGAGAATTGTTTTAGTGTGAATGAGTTATTCCTAAATGAGGACACTCTATTCTCAACTGAAAAGTAATTTCATTCTTTTACAATTACTTTGTTTTGCAAAAAGTGTAATTATTCTGGAATGCACCTACTTATTAGTCCAGAATAAACAGTAAACAGCAAGCCTTGCCCCCATTTAATATGTTTATTAAACAATACCGATTCTTTAGTTTTTACAGATTCTTTAGAAATATTCTAGGTAGGCCACGTTATGGGAATGTTGATGGTTCCCTGGTAGCTGTTTTTCATCCCTGGGAATGGCTTTCAGCACAGGGCTGAGAAGCGCTTTAAATCCCTGAAGATCCCGGAAAGCAGCTGCCCCTGCCCAAGGAGGAGCCTCCCGCGGGGCCTCCCGCCTCCTCCCCTGGCTCTGGGAGGGGAACGTGGGTGCAAACGTCTGGCAAAGCTGCCAGCAGGCAGGGAGGCAAAATGCTGTAGAGTTCCTGAACATGTCTGCAAAACTCTTTTTTGTGGGTGCTTTGTAGGTGCTTTGGAACAGTGGTTGTAACCATTCATGTTACGTAGAATGGCCAAGGGAAGGATTAGTTAAATTGATAAACTTACTGGAAGTTTTAATTCTGAAAAATCACAATATCTGTTGTCAAGTGTTTACACAAGCAAAAAATAAGCTGGCTTTGTCTTAAACAAAAGCTCTTGGGTTGCACCTACCATTTTGCCCACAATGTATGAGCAAGTAGACTCTAGACTTTAAAAGCTCTTGGGTTGCACCTACCATTTGCCTCATACATTTTACAATGTATGAGCAAGTAGACTCTATGCGCAAATAGTGCAAAATAACATGGAAGTTAGATATGCATACTTCATTTTTATTTTTTTGCAAGTATTTTCGTACAGGATAATTAATCATACCTAGTGATACATGGAAATCTGTCTCGTAATTATGAGATTACAAGATCTCTCTCTTTTCATGAACAGGATGAAGAAAGTATTCCTATAACATATCGAGAGTTACCTGAATACAAAGAACTCTTAGAGTTTAAGAAGCTGAAGAAGCAGAAGCTCCAGCAGATGCATGCGGAAAGTGGGTTTGTGCAGCACGTGGGGTTCAAGGTAAGATGAACTGATCTTCTGTGCAGTGTCCACGTTTCCAAAGGTGGCATGGTTTGGATTTCCTAAGAAGATTTTATTGACTATAGCATCCGTGTTTCCTTAGTTCTTGTTTGCCATGTTTTCTTTCCCTCATACTCTTTTTTTTTAATCACAGCAAGGCTGTTAATGCACTGGTTTTGGCAGCACATGAGTCTCAGACTGTTGCTCTTACTGGGGCTCTCTGCACTTTCAGCAAGAAGAGACTGCCCCAAACTGAACACCTGGAGTCAAAATCAAATCAAATAAAAGGGTCTCCTCATTATCTGTCAGTATGTGCTCCTGGTGCAGGCTTATATGCCCACCATCCTGTGTCCTTCTTTATAGGACACTGTTAATTACATCCAGCTTGTGATCTGCACTGATCTGCCAGATGTTTCTGTGCCCAACAGCTCCCCAAGCAACCGTCTGCACCAATGCAGGAAGGAGGACAGTGGTTTGTGGAGATGTGCTGGGCTTGGGCTGTTGGATACCAGCTTATCTTTATCGGACACATCCGTGTCAAAACCCATTTGAAATCGGATCTTGTCCCCCCACGTGTTTGTAGAGTTTCAGCCTGATTCTGCGTGCAGAGGAGTGACCCCGCTGGCTGCTCTGCATTCAGTCTGGGAGGGTCTCTAGCTGCAGGGCCAGGTTGGCTCTTAGGGGAGTCCGTGTGACACTTTGTTCTGTTTTGACCTTAATTCACTGATCATAATTCCTTGATTGTGGTGTTGGACTCATTTTGCTTCTCTTTTGGGCCAAAGGAGGGACAAAGATGTAGAATAAACTGCTAGTAGATTAACAGATACATATATATATATATATATGTATTCATTTTGCTGCAGGAAAAAGTGTAGCAGCCTCGTAATACTATTAAGCAATACTTACAGAAGGTGAAGCAAGGCCCTAAAGGCTGGCTATGCGAAATTAAGGAAATAAACGTTAGGTTAAAATCATGTGGTGTTCCGGCATCAAGCAGTAATAGGGGGCATGAAAGAAAGGGAGCTTTCTAGAAATACGTTTTTTGTCTTTTGCAGAGGATTTTCTATGCATCTGTCCTCTGTGTTGGAGTAATTTCTTCACCTTTTGGGGCACGTAGCCAGACATATTTTCTAATGCTCATTTCTATCAAAATGAAAGGGTATTCAGGTTAAAACTCCATTCAAAGTGACTGCAAAAAGGGGACAAGTTAGTTAGTTTATATTGACAGACTTAATGACGTTGTTACATCACTGAAAGAGTCAACTTTTTTTTTCTTTTTTCTTTCAGAAAGTTTGTGTTTCCTTCCAAAAAGCAAAATTTAGATCTAAAGAGCAAAAATAACAAGAGATCCTTTTCCAGCATTAAATTGCACATAGAAAACTAAACTAGCTTTACTCTATATCGAGCATTCAAAGCTAAAACGCCTCTTTGCAACCTCAACTAAGATTTTATTATGCGTTATAGTAAGTTATGAAGTTACATGAGTATATGCATTTTTTTTCTATGGGAGTGTTGTTTCCCTCAAAGCACAGGCTGGACAGTGCTCAGTAATACGGAACCATTTGGGACATTTTTGTTTGATTTTTTTTTTTTTTTTTTTTGGCTCTGTGTGGCCTTCAGCCTTATTTAGTACGTGTTATTCAAACCCTACTGTGAATATTAAATTGTTGAGTCCCTTGTGGGCTTTTTATGGCTTTCATTGCTGTAATACTGGGGTACTTTGCAATTCTTAGTGACTTTTATCTTTAAATAAAATGAAAGGCAAGTTATTATTTCTGTTTGGCAGCAGAGGTGGGAAGGTAGAGCACAGATGTTAAGCTCAAGAGTTCCCCCTACCTTTTGGTTCTCAACCTGAGGTAACGGGAACTGTGTGTGGGTTTTTTTGTTTCTGCTTTGCTTTGCTTTGTTTTCAGCTTCCTCCTGAGCTGGGTGTTCTCAGAGAGCAGCTGCAGCTCCGCTCAGCCCTGCTGTGTCCTCATCCCGAGCCCAGGGTGTCGGGAGGGCAGGACCGGCGGTGACGGATCTGCCTCCTCGTGGCCGCGGGCCCTGCCCGGCAGCTCCAGGCTCTTTCTAAGAGCAGATCCCTTCGCGTCCCTGGCCGCCTCCCAGGCGTCCGGCTCTGATGTTCTGCTTGCACTTTTTGCTCTCCTTGACCCTGATTCTTCTCAGGGAATTAGTTCTTATGTTTTTGCTCAGCTCTAGTTTTAGTCTGCTCTTTCCTATCTGAATCATCCCGCTTCCTTTTTACGGACTGGCTTTCAGCTCCAGCTCGCTCAGTGTGTTTCACCTGCTCAACTTGCAGGTGCCTCAGCCTGACCCTTCTTGTCCTGACCCGCAGCCTTCAGCAGCCTCCCCACGAGCCGACGCGCTCTAGTCTGGCTGCTCTTTTCTTCCAAGGAAACCGGTTCCATGTTCAGACGTTTCCCACTGTTGGGCATTGGCTACAGAGACCTCAACGTTCACCCTACAGGCAGAGAGGCCCTGTCTCATTGCACCAGTTTTTCGTCCATGTGAGGGTAGGCCCAGGCTGTGGGCAGGAACTAGGTCCTCCTTTCTGGAGCAGGAGGAGCAGCTGAGGAGTGGGGAGCAGAGCAAGAGAAACGGATCAACCCTCAGAGCTCTGAAAGGCTCCTGAGATGTTGGGACTTACCCATGAGTTCCCTGGGGTGGTATGAATCCGGCTACAAGGGCTGGCAGTAGCTAAATAACGTGTGTGTGTGCATGTATTTGTATATGGTGTATTGGTGTGACGAGGTGTTGCTGGTGCAGTGAGTGCTGCAGACTTTTTCTCAAAGTTCTTCCATCTGCTTCACAGTGTGATAACTGCGGGATTGAACCTATTCAGGGTGTTCGGTGGCACTGCCAAGACTGCCCTCCAGAAATGTCCCTGGATTTCTGCGACGCTTGTTCCGACTGGTGAGCAGCGCTCGCTTCTGCCTGTTGTTGTCGTTAACGTGACTCTCTGAGCGGCTTTAATTGCTGTGGGTGCAGCCTGGGATGCATCGTTCCGTGTTGGGTGAACAGGAGGGTGCTGTGGTGTGTGTGTATTTGTGGGAGGTGGCTTTTTGGTAAGCATGTTTGGGTTGTGTAAAATCTTTTTTTATTGTTGTTAAGTAGAGGAGGAAATTTGGGGGTTGTATTGCATAGTGGGGTAGCTATTTTTTGTGAAGAACCATATGGTATCAAATTTGGCATGCGTATGTTTTTGAAAGTTACAGATAAGAATACTTGGCTGACAAACCGTTCTCTCTTTTCTTGCCCTAACAGTCTGCATGAAACAGAGATTCATAAAGAAGACCATCAGTTAGAGCCTATTTACAGAGCAGAGACATTTTTAGACAGAGACTACTGCATGTCCCAGGGCACCAGTTACAATTATCTTGACCCAAACTACTTTCCAGCAAATAGATGACATGGGAAGCAGATCTGCAATCTGGGGCTTACTATCCTCTTTGAAAAATAACAATGGCACCATTGTTAATTCTGTGCACATTTTGGAAAGACTCTGCTTTCCCTGAAATGTCGCTCACAGCATGACAGCTTCCTGGGTGTACTTGTCAAACTACAGCTTCGAACTGTCATGGTTCTAGATCACCGAGCAGCAGCTGAACATTCCTAGTGTGCAGAAGGTTTCACTGGGAGACTTTTCTCTCACCACATTAGTCATTTTTAGGTGGTGAATCTATACAAAAAGAAAACCATACAAGAGAGTGAGCCAGGAAAGAGAGCACACGTTAAAGATAGAGTAAATTCCAAAGGCTTTGAAGAGCTTGGTTACAATGAGATCCAGAGGAGATGAAGTATTTATATAAAAACAGTTTAGTAGCTTGCAGTTTTGTTGTGAAATAGTTTTCAACACAGTAACTGACTTCTTTAGGCAAGGTTTTAACCAGTGACAGTGTTTGCTTCTAGGATGTACTCTAAAAAATGCTCACTGTCTCAGCGATGGTTGGTTACAGGCCTTTATCAAATCGGAGCTGCTTAATCACATTGACTTTCAATTTTTAAAATTTTTTTCTTTTTTTCCCGTTTTTTTTCTTTTTCTTTTTTTTTTAAACCACAATGAACTCTATTTACCAACAGCGAAGCACTACAGGGGGCAACTGTGGCATTGCTTCCTTAACCAGCTCATGGTGTGTGAATGTTATAAAATTGTCACTCAGATATATTTTTTAAATGTAATGTTATATAAGATGATCATGTGATGTGTACAAAATATGGTGAAAAGTGCCAGTGGTAGTAACTGTGTAAAGTCTCTAATACTCAACATTAACTCCTTTAAAATAAAATACACAGCCTTCTGCCTCTGTATTTGGAGTTGTTAGTGCAACTCATCAAAGAAAACTGCCTAATATAAATCATATATATGGTAATAATTTTTCCTCTTTTGTAGTCTGCACAAGATCCATGAAAGATTGTATTTTTATTACTATTTAAACAGTGATTAAATTTAGCCTGAGCAGTGAGCAAGGGTTCACATGCATTCTTTTATACTGCTGGATTTTGTTGTGCATCATTTAAAACATTTTGTATGTTTCTTCTTATCTGTGTATACAGTATGTTCTTAAATAATGTTCAATTGTCAGGAGAACTGTGAGAAATAAACTCTGTGGATCCAGTCTGTTTATACACAGCATGCTTGCCGTGACTTCCTTGGCGTGGCCTGGGCTCCCTCGCGTGGCCGGCGGCTCGTGGAGGCCCCCGGGTTGCTGCGGGGCCCACGCGGCGCTGTCCTCTCTGCCCGTGTCCTACCCACGAACGTGGCGTTTTTCAGACTGCAGGAAAGGGGACTCCAGTGGGTTTGGTACGCTGTATTAGCCAAAAAATATACTGATGTCTGAGAAGTTTTGTAACTATTGTGACATATTTTTTAGTTAATATATTTTTTATTGAAGTGTATAGCTTGTGGTTCAGAAACACTGATTATTTTTTAACTGTAATAGACTTCCAGTTGCTTTAAAACTTGAATATTCAGAGTCATTAGCTGTATAGAGGGAACTAATTTGACTTATCGCAATAAGAAGGGTAATTGGCTGGCCGCTCTGAATAACTTTACTCATAACCTGATTGGTATTAATTTTCACAATAACATTTAAGTGTAGACATTGTTTGCTTTAGAGAAAAGTTTAAGCAGTTAATCTATTTAGAAGGTTCCTAGAACACTGAGTGAGGATTAGGGAGGTGTAATAAACCTTTAAAAAATACCCCACAAACATGCAACAGTTTTAGAAAAGCTTTCTCTAACGGAAAAAGGTACCACCCCCAGAAGCTCTCTAGTACCATAAAAATGTGTTTTCCGACTCATTCATGCTGCTTTTAAGAAAGCAGATTTGATGAGGAGATGTATCTGGGAGAGGGAATCTGTGATAATCTTTTCTGCATTGATTTCCTGAAAAAATTATTGGAGGAAAATAACCAAAGTACATTAATAAAAATAGTAAATGCAAATCCTGTAATCGTCACTTCAGGACAGCTTGGGAAAAACAAAAGATGATGATCTAATTTTGAATGAGGTTGGAAGGAGGAGGAGAATTTCAAATCTGAATTACCTGAGAAAGGAATGTCTCAGATATGCAATTTACTGCATCTGTGTAAATGCATGTGTGTTATTTCCCTTGCATACATTATGAACGTGTGCAAATAGATATTTAATGCACATACACCTAGCCAAGCACAGGGCTGTTTTGTTTTGTTTTGTTCCACAAAAACGGCCAGAAGAAGCAGAAATTAAACTGGAAATGTATGTAAAATGACTTCATAAGTGATTTTTCTTTTTAATTAGCATCTGCTTATTACCTTTGTTCTCATCCTGTGCAATTATGATATCCCACACCTTTTTCTAAACTTACGCTGTAATTAGAAGTAATAAATCTGAACTCCCCAGATGAATTTGCAGCTCCAGAATCCTCCAATTTCTGGAAAAAAATGCAAAGCATCATCACCTAATGCTTCAAGGCTAAGCTTAGAAAAACCTGCCTTTTCAAGCTGATGCCTTCTGCAAGTGTCCTGCCTAAAGCTGATGTCCTGCAGACGTTGCTCGTCACTGAACGGCACCCTCTGGAGTTGGAAATGCTCTTCCCAGAGCTTCAGAGGTAGAATTCAGGACACAGGGGAGGAGAAGCAGCCACGGTATAAAGGATAAGAGCATCCTAAAACGGCCCCTTGGTAAATAATTTGAATTAGCACTTACTGGGCAAATGCCAAGGAAAGAGGGGAGGCGGTGGGGGAAGGAAGAGAATCTACTGTAATGGAAAAGGACATATTTTGCAAGCATGCTGGTTTGATTTTTATATTTTCAAGTGATGTACTGTAATTTAAGAAGGATTAAACCCACTGTAAAAGAAGTCATTAGTCACTTTTGTACATGTTTTATTTGTATTATGTCTTCATTACAAGAAATATAACTTTAAAAATACAAATCTGCCCCATAAAGTACAACAGAAAGAGCTATCATGCAGCCACTTACACTGTGAATTTATCCGGTAGTTCAGTAAGAGGATGCAGCTACTTTACAAGAATGTCAAACAAGCTTTTACTTAGCTATCAGTACACCAAAAAACCTCCACAATGTTTTGGTTAACAGAAATATGATACGATTTTTACAGACTTTTTTGCAGATACTGTAGATAAGTGACCGATTAAAAATGCAAGCAGTATGAATCAAATAATCCCTGTTTTTTTTTTTGCTCACTGTGTCAAAAACAAGACAACAGCTGATCTGAAATTTGCATTTGAAATACTTGTCAAGTATTCATGGTAAATTTTAACTACTAAATGTGCAATTCAGTTATTAATGCTTTTAACTGCACTATACAGTCATTATTTTCACCTCGTACGACAAACTGGGAAGCCATTCTAGTATCTGAAGACCCACCAAAAGGTAAGGCTGTCTCAGTGACTGGGAATGTTCCATTTTAAGGGATTGTCAGACTTCCACGATAGTCAATTTTTTTTTCTCTTGTTTTAGTAAGTGTTTTGAGGGCATTTCAAAAGTTGATTTTAATTTCTGTAGTAGGGTAGGCTAGTTTACAAATCCAGTTGCCTCACAGGTGAGTGTAGCAGAGCAGATTTCTGTCACTACAAATCAAGAACAAGCTAAGTGATATCATAAAAATTAATATTGTTAATTAAAAGAAACAATAACCAGTGGAACAATCTGAATGTGCTGTGTGATGAAGCAATTTGTCTGAATCAAATACAGGAATATACCATGAAATACAAACCAGAGCTGGTGTTCACCATGGTGCTTTTCACCTTTGAAGAGCAAAACAACTAATAAAACAATACACAGCACTTATAGTGTGGAATTAGCATAGAGACCATTTCCTATTGAGTATTGTATGAATGAAAGAAAAAAGATTTAATCTAAAATAACATTTATACCACATGCACGAATTTCAGATACCTCTCAAGACTGTGGGTATTGCTTTGACCAGCATTGTAATCGTGACTATCGCGTGCACGTGAAACGAAGCTTTGAACACACCGTTACTGGGTTTCAGTTGGAAGAGAAAATGCTGCCTCTTCCTTTTTGAGAAAAGAGTCAATGGTCATGCAGATTTCCAGGAAAATATCCTCTAGTTGTCCCTCTGCGTCAACCTGTGGAGGGAAATCAAGCCTATTATGAAGACATTTGTTCACATTGTTATATTTATCTAAATTTTTTTTAAAAAGGGTACAGTGTGAATACAGGTTGCTGTCTTTGATGTTATTAGTATCCTACTGTACAAGAGTAGTGTCATTTAAAAAAAAAATCACTACATTTCCACAGATTTATGTGAGAAGGTCTGGCGAAGGCTCTGTTGTCTGGAGTGAAGTACAATAACTGAACTTAAGAGCTTGGGCTCTTAAGCACAAAAATCACATGACATTTTTGATACACAGAACAGTTCCCAGGATTTTTAAAATCTCTTAAAAACGGTGACTTCAGTATCATTCCGTCAGAGGGATGAATAGCGTTGACTTGTTAATTTACTGATTCCGTTCTGAGCAGAGGCTTCCTGGGGTGTTCGAGCTGTTTTCCATGGCTGGATTTCAACATGTGACCTCCTGCCCCTCCCTGAGGAAGGCCGGTAGCTCCGTTGTGGCAGTGAGGAACAACACTCTCAGCCCGGAACACATCTGTGAGGCACTAAGAGAACGTGACGCCGCACCGGGCCGTGGGATGTCTTACGTGTTGCTCCTGGAGAGCTTTAGCCTCCCAGGAGCAGCCGTGCTGGCCCTGCACACGGAGCAGGATGAGTTGGGTGGTTCAGTTCCTGCCAGGTGCCTGGTGAGGGCTTTGAGATTTCGCTACTCCAAAGGAAGCTGCATATTCGCTTCCCTGCGCTGCCTCTTTCATATCTTCACATCATGCAATTTGCATGTATTTTTGACTACACCCAGGCCAATTTTGCCAAAAACGTTTTTGGAGCTGTGTAGCTGTATCCAAGGCACTCACTAGGGTGCAGACAGTGGCAGTGTTTGAAGGGGACATTCCTAATTATCATATTCCTGCCATCCCTTCTATCCTGCAGGAGAAGAAAAGGAGCTTCCAACTCCAAAAACTACATTTTTGGCAATAGGGCATGAAATTCTGCCCAGAGGTGGTGCTGGCTCACGGGCAGCTCCTGCGCTCCACGTCGCTCGGAGCGGGGCCCTGCGCGGGAGCCGGCGGCTGCTCCGCACAGCCGGCCGGCACGGCAGCACGTTCCCAAGCCTCTGCTCTTGGTGGCATCCGCAGGTGCTGCCAAGTTTGTTCCCTCGTCACCTTCTGCTTCCCGCGCTGGCCTGCCAAATAGCAAAGGTCCAACTCACAAAGCAACTTAATGTGTCAACAGCTCACAGCTAGGACCACAGTGATTCAGTAAAACTCCGCAGTACCACAGGGGAAACCTGTGCTTCTCTTTTCAGATTATAGCCTACCTCATGAATTAAGGTTCTTATCAAGGTTTTCAAGGTTATTTGAGGCTTTTGTCTTCTGGTATAAGCAGGATTAGATAAAGTCTGTGCTACTGATTTCACAATTCCAGTGTGGCTTTAGGCAATCAAATGCAAAAAAATTAATGAGTTAATAAGAAAAATGACTGTATTAATCATCTTCATAACATAATGCTTGTTTTAAAACTAGGTTCAACAAAATACATTTTCTTTCATCAAATCTCCATTTCTTGTAGGGTTCTGGGTTTAGAGCCCTGAATGTATCCTGCCACAGAGCAAAGGGGCAGCTGAAGCCTGCAGGTTTCCGAAAAACAGACTGGGAAACGCACTGCTTGGAAGAGCCTGCGAAAAGGCCCGTCAAGGTCAGCTCTGTAGCCATGAACATTTGTATCTTTGTCCTTAAATAACAGGGTTAAAAACCTTTCCGAGAACGGCAGTGCAGTATGTGACTCTCAGAGCAGTGAACGGAGCTGTTTAGAAATCCAGGGAAACACGCTGCCCAGATTTCTATACCTTTCATGTTTGGCATGAGCTCGCAGCTATGAATTATCTATAGCCCTGTGCTAATGTTTCTGATGTACCTTTCTACGTGGGTCCCAGCTAATGGATCACAACCTGCCAAGGGCAGAGACAAAGACGCACTTGTTCCTTTGTTCCTCAAGTACTCACCTACTGCGTTAATTGTTCTTTGACAACCTTTCAAAAGAGAGAAATAAATTATATAGCTACTATTACTAATACCATTGATAAGCTCTTCTTTGAAGGGAGAAGTACACATGTTTTTCTGGAAAAAATAATCTAATGGGGCACCAATATTCTGGCAAGGGCTGAGAGGAGGAAGACGTGAGAGCCTGGCTGGGCGCTCGCTCGGGGCACGATGCCGCTTGCAGCGCGTTTGCTTCGTGACAGCTCCAGAAAATGTGTGTGACAAGAAGCTAATAACTGCTGCTTGCTCAGCACATGACTTTAAGTGATTTTAGAAACAAAGCAGAAGAATTATTGTTATTAGAAGTTGAAAAATAGAAAAGCATCTTGGTTAAACGTTGTAGGCTAAGTTTCCATATGGTGTGATCTGAAAAGGGGAAGAGTTTGGAAGTCTTTGGAAAATCCTCTGGCCCTGGCTGCCTACCTGCCTTGTTACTTTCATGTTCCCTTTCCTCAGATGAGTGTTTGAATAGGGAACCTGTATTTAAGACATCTTCTGCTTTGATGTTAACTAGGTGGGATCACTTGTCTTCCTTGACTGCCAGTGCATTACTCTTCCTTATTACTTATTACACTCCTACATGCTGTCAATTTTAAAAAGCCTTAAAAGATGAGTCAGATATTAAAAGCAATCAGTGTTTTTCTCTCCTTTTTCTCAATAGACAGAAGATCATAAGTTCAAAGATATTTACAATTAGACATGTTAAAACACAAGTAGGTACCTAATAAATATTCAAAAACACGTTTATGTCCAACTGTCTTTGAAATCATTGAGAAACACATTTAAAAGCAGTAATATCTACTGCTTCCTACAATTAGCATAGTATATTTCCTTTCATTTTATTCATCTAAATCATTTGAATTCCACAGAATTAGGAAACTTACATGTCTTATTTTTGTAAAGAGTGTTTTTAGCCCTTGGATATCCAGTAAGAGTTCTTTGTTGAAAGCATCTGCATGCTGTCATTAGTGACAGGTAGATGTTCTGTAACTGACTAGGAAAGAAATTATTGAAAATTAAACTACATCTCCAGAGCATGTGGGTTTTTTTACTTCTTAGTTGGAAAAAACTTAATGCATCGTATTTTAATGCAACTACTTTGCCTTCCAGAAAGCAATTTGGAAGCTTAATGCCTAAGCAGAAAAGCAAGCCAAAGAAAACACTTTGTCATCCTTTGCCCTTCATTTTGTCCGTTGAAGTTCCTTCATAAACATATCCCCGTGCCTCACATCACATCATAGCTCCTAATCGCGGGTCACCACCGTTCCCGCCGGGGTCACGGACCTTCCGTCGCAGCGGGCAGGAGAGCTTGTCCAAAGGGAAACGAAACCGAGTCCTGGCTCTTGCGGCAGCCTGGCCAGGTCACTCTTCGTACAACAGCAGAACAGAAGATGGTCCAATTCCAAATCTCATATTACTTATTTATTAATGCTTCTATACATAGTAACTCTAAATTGAGTGTAGATCATGAAATTCTCATTGAGTAAACTGGGACTGCTGTTACCACCCTGTACCTTTGTATTTTCTGTGCAAGTAAAGCACAGGGAAGAGCTCCTAATGACTGCAGAGGAAGCTAGAGCAGATCTGAGTCTTTCTGTCTCTGTCAGGCTCCTTCCATCAGCCCCTCCTTAATGCTCTTTCCAATGCCGAAAGAAAAACCTTCTTGCAGAGCAACAGAGCCACTTTGTCCCCCAGAATGCTCATCTGGGGGACGTTTAATTCCTCATTTAATTCCTGTCCCAGATCCTCTGCTGGCCTTATGTCCAGGACTGAATTTTACATATTTCATCTGCCTTCCTGCCTCTTTCAGGACTGAAAGCTGTTAGGCTGGTTAGGGCAGCTGGTTAGGGCAGTTTAAACATACACCAACATAGCCATGTGCTCTTATTCTCCTGTATTTAAGATATCCAAAACTTTACCTATCACTACCTGCAATTAAAATGGAGAAATCAAATAATAGCAGCATAGGAGCTCACACGGGCCCTCTACTGAGCACAAAAGACTCTCCAGAGAAAAGCAACTAGAGCCCCTTTTGACCCTTCTTCTCTTCCTCACTTATAAAACATGTCTATAGATGCTTTAGCTGGGGCTTTTCCTGAGATCTCAGAGATCCTCAACTGCAAACAGACAGTTTCTTTTCAAAATCTATACTATATAGCCTAGGGAATGTTCAGATACATTTTTTTTTTTTCAGATACAAGGTATATGTGGTTCAGATTATATTGTAGAACTCAGAAGTCACCAAATTCAGGCTACTCAACCAGCTGAAAGGAATAGCATATTTTGATATCATCGGTATCAAACAGTCTCTGCAATCTGTGTTCTAGATAAAACAGACTAAGAAAGTGAAAAATTAGAACAAACTGGAAAGTGCAGAAACTAACCCAGGTGGTTGCATGTGACATGTCAGTAGTTTCTGAATACTGTCCATAAAGCAGAAGTAGATAATAATGATGTAGTTCAACCAGTCGGGTAGCTTACCTTGCATAACTGTGTCTTCATCTCGTAGTATGCAATCACAGGTTTTGTTGCTTGGCAATAGCTCTCAATTCCTTCCTTGGTAGTTTCAGCACTATCAAAGTGGTGCCCACTCTGTCTCATCAGAAGGCGACCGCTCATGGTTTCTGCAGAGCAGTCCAGGCAGAACACGAGTTTTGGTTCCCCAATCTACAAAGAAAAATAGTTAAGTATTCAAGCAATGGGCCTGCCATAATCTAGTCTTGTTTATGAATCCTGTTTTGTTTATATAGCTTTAAAAATAATAAGAGAGTCATTTAAAAATAAAAGAGTCATCACGTAAATTAGTAACAAATTACTTCCTTATTTGTCTAGACGGAAATTAAGCTTATTAAAAAACACCTTTTATTGTAGCAGCACTTAGTGATCCCAGTGTTCAAGATTAATGCTTAAGTGTGCTGTACAGGTACAGAAAAGAAGACATTATAGGAAAAAAAAGGCTTTTTGTCTGAAGATCATCTATTTGTTCACTATTTGCTATTGTTTGATAAGAGCTTGATTGCAAACAACATTGAAGTGTTGGAACTCTTCACACAATTATTTTTCTAACCTTTGCCTCCACTTGTTTAATCTGTGAGAAGTGTATTTTTCATTCAGGGGCTGTCAAACCAGAGCTTACAGAGCTTCGGGAGCAAATACAAGGAACTGTTAAAGTTCAAATTAAACCGGGCCTTTCCTCAAGCCATATGAGTAGCACAGCTCTTTGTTAACAACTACGATGCTTTTTTTGCGCATCATGTGGATACAGGGCATTATTCATTTGCATTTTGCTACCATTAACTAATAAAGTTTAATGTCTTTTTATCCACTTATAATGTAGGAAGAACTTCTGAACACTCTTCAAAAGGAACTGGGGAACATTAACCCAACGACTCATTAAAAACAAACAAACCCCCCCAAACTTTGCAGACTTCCTGAGCAGCCTGGAGCCAAGTTCAGTCAGGGAAAGCTCAAGTGGAAACAGGGATTTACAACAGAAATGGCATTAAAAGCTATCACTCTGGTTCCTTGTATTTTACTCCAAAAGCCAAAGCCAACTCAGGACTACAGGACCTTTTGCTGCCAGAGTAACATGAAGTGTATCCCTGGCAGGAAAGGTGTGATATAGTTCCTCCCTCTATACAAAATGAATGAAACCTCCAATGTCTTTTTAATAGTCTGAGTCTTCAATAAAGGAACTAACAGACCAATATTTCTGTGAATGGCTTCCATACTAACTCCTACTGCCCAATACTTTGCCCAGCTTCTGATGCCATCAGCTGTGCAAGTCTTTCAGAGTTATCAGTTATATAAAGTAACTACAGGTTCAGGAGAAAACAGATGATTCATTAAAGGTTTATTACCTTTTAAGCTTGTATAGGACATTTGTGGAATGTAATACTGTAGCATAAACAGTCAGCTACTTCCTCCTAATTCACCAATTCTTTTCTCATAAACCCTGCCAAGTTCATTCCTGGAACTTATTTAGAGCATTTTCTGACAGTTAAGAAACTGACAGCTGAGAATTCTCAGTAGGTCTTAGCACATACTGAGGAAATCAATAACTCTGTGAACTGTAGCACGCTCACTTGCAAAAATGCTCTTTTTATGGGTTTCTCACATGTTACTCACCACAAAAATGTTATCTCTGTTTTGCTCATTTCAAAGCAGCAGTAAGTTTTGGCAGACCTTGCTCAATGGTCAGAGATTAACTATGATGACACAGACCTTCACACACCTACATCAGACAGTGCTTCGTGAGCTTTTGATGAGAAGTACAGAACTCAGTCAAGAGATCTGGTAATTCACTAGAATTAAAAACTGATTCTAAAAAATGAGGCTTTCTACTAACTGAGAATGGTCACACTTTGCATTAAATCTGGCTAGAATCAGCCTTTACTTCTCCTGGTATCACAGAGCCTGTGCAGGTGAGGACACAAGCTCTAGTCACGACATTGATAAGGTGCCAAAGCCTCTGTGATTAGCAGCAAAACTCCGTTCTTTTGACTGTCAGATTGACCATATAAGCCACCCCTGCAGTCTGTGAAAGATGCAGACCCAAGCAGCATCGCAAGAACAGCAGGGGTAATATTTAGTATTACTACTACATGGTCACCTTGTTTTCAAACTCTTCTGCTTCTTTCAGGTCACGGGGATACCCATCAATCAGAAATCCTTTTGTGTCCCCTAAACTGGAAACCATAGCTTCCTTCAGGAGCTCTAGGACAATACCCTGCATTGAAAAGAAAGGCAGTTAGTTGGTAAATTAATAAGAAAGATTGGGATTATTTTTTGTTACACTGACTTCAGTCCTACATCCTTGGGAACTACTCCAATCTGCTTCACTGAAAGCAGGTCCCGTGGGTGCAGGTGTTTTTCTTTGGTTGCAGGACACACAACCCCTCTTCCTTTTGGGAGCAGCTATGCTATAAAGACCTAGTGTTGCAACCCACCCAAGAGTTCCCAAACTCTTGAGGGCTTCAGAGGGCTGAGAATATTTTGCATTTTCAAAATGAATGTTAATACCTATCAAACTTTTGGACAATGCTGGAGCATTTTTCAATCTGATTGTATTTTGGCATATCACTGATATACTTTTTAACGGGAAGTGATAAGGGAATGTGTGTGATTAAAGCAGTTAAAATCCAGCATTTCCTGTTATCTTTCATTAATAAAAACATCCCTGATCCCTTTGCACTTGCTAAAGACTCACTAAGAATTCAGGCTTTGGACTTGTCATAAAAGTCAAGCTCAGCTGAGAACAACAGTCTCTCTCTGCATAATCTCTATTAAACTGGGATGTCAACCAGCTCTGCGGGGAATCACTGCAGGTCCTGTAAATTAGAAGAGCTGCCAGGAGGACTAGCTTTGAATCTGAATGTGAAGCTATAAAAAGGACATAAAGTTTCTGTTTCCTGCACTTGTGACTGTGATTTTTGCAGTGCACGGTGTAGCATCTGTCTCACTCTACTCAGTGATTAATCCATATTGTTTAAAGGAATCCGAAACGTTGAAATCCAACAGCATAGAAAGGGGAAGCATGTGCCATAAATCCAGAAGTGAGAAAATTTCTCCCTCAACTTGCAGACCGTTTCCTTGAACAGGAGACACTTATTCCACTCTTTTGGACAATCCACCTCCTACTGGTTTATTTAAGCATTAGGACCCTCAAATAAAGCTGTAGCTTACTCCAGGCACTGGTTCACCACACTCCGTGATGTCTTTGATCAATTTACTTCTCTCTGATAATGATGATAACTCATTTTGGAGAAGGTCACCAGTGGACAGGTGCGTAAATCCATATTTCTTGGCTAACTGTTCGCATTGACTACTTTTGCCAGAGCCAGGGCCACCTTTGTGAGGGAAAAATATCTAGAATTAGAAAAATATATAGACCTTTTCTCAAATTATAGCAACTAAGAAAATCTAAGTAAAATTATTTGACTGTCTATTATATATTTTTTTAGCAAAGACACTTAATACAGTGGAACAGGCAATATACTTCCATTCTGACACACACATTATAGAATCAAAAAAATGAAGTCAAAGAAGCCTCAAAAGTGCAAAAGCTCTTGCAGAAGAGAATCTGCTCCTAAAACAGAACTACCACGCAAAGGAAAGTCATTAGACAGCAGCTATCCGGGAAGCGAATTTTGTCCTTGTGAAGGAAATATTTTGTGTCCATTTTACAGAAGGGAATCTGGCAAAGGTGATGAAAGTTGTGCGTGTTATGCAGGAAGCAAGCGAGACCACAGTAACCTTTTGTGCTGTGGTAAAGATCAGAGTTACTGCCCTCGTTCCCATTCCCTTTGAGCTGGAAAGCCCTCGCCCATGTCACCACTTTGAAGGCTGCCCAACAGTCGTGTCCCGGAGCTGCTCAGTACTGAGGAAGGGCTGATTACACAACTCACTGCACTGGGCTTGTTCTCTATGCACACCAAGGGAAAGCACGAGAGCGTAACCCCCTGCCCCTCGGAGCCGGCTTGGCGGTGTCTGACCAGCGCACCAAGAAGGTGCCACCCCCCGTTGTCACACATCCTGGGCCAGGAGCCAGAGAGTCCCCCATGAACCAGCGCTCAGAGCGAAGCACTGGGAGACACAAGGGCAAGCTGGGCCAAAGCATCTCAAGAGGTTTTTCCACTGGCTGAGGGACAGCACCTGTGACCAGCCCTGCCTGCCCAGCTGTGTCCTGTCCCACGTCCTGAGTGCAAACAGGTGCTTGTCCTGGGGTTGTCCTCAGATCCTGGTATATGGGCATGAACCAGAGCCAGCCTTTCCCTAACCCTTCAAAATGCTGCATGAATTTCATCTTCCCCTGACGTTTGCCTGTCTGTACCATGGACCCAAGCAGCCCCCGCAGGCTGCTGCACTGATGGGTGTAGGCAGTTCCTGTGAGCTGGAGAAGGCTCTTTCACCTGGATCAACCTTGTGTGGTGGAGACTGCTGGAGCAGCAAGAGGAGAGGTGAGGGGTGGCCATGGCAGGAGGTGGTGGGAGGTCTGGGTGGCATGTATGTGATGTCCAAGTGATGGGACTTGGGGGAAATGACAAGTTCTGTAGCAGCATTTCTACATCTTCAGGTATCTGTTCAGAAGAAGCCTCGCAGTGGGAGATAATTATACCTTAGCAATGCTCAAAAATCAAATTAAATCAAATTATTAACTTTTGGGCTTTGCAAATATGAAAGCATATCTCAACTATGTGACTTTAAGATGCTAAAAATGTGATGCAGAATAACATGATTTTTCTTTCTATTGTTTATATTTCTGTGAGTGAGTATAGGAATAAGAGTGAATTTGGCCTCGATGTCTTCTGATTTAGAAATTTCCTCCAACACTTGCAGTCAGTTAAGAAATGGATTGCGCCAAGCAAAAACCTTCAGGGAAGTTATAGCATTGTAGCTGAAAATAGGTCATACGATAGAAGCAAAAAAACAAAGGCTTTGTCTAGTGTCACCTTGAGTCTCTTATTTCCATTTCACAAAGATAATTGTGTGGTGTGAGAATCACGTTTGAGCCACTATTTTTTTAGCCAGAAACATTTTTGTCACAATCTCATTTTCTTTTCCAAAAAAGGCTTTTCTATGTAAATTGCATGTTGTTTTTCTACGGCTTCAATTAAAAAAAAAAAAAAAAAAACCCTTTGTAGCCATTGGAAGAAAATGAGCAATAAATAAGAGTGGAGGTAGATGTATAGAAATAGATGAAATGTAATGAGTGTTAAATATCTTCAATGGCAAGTAACTCAACTTCTGGATTCTTTTAGGATTCTGGATTAGTAGGTTTGAGTGTGCATGTTTTGATTTATGCACTCTGCTTTCTGGCCTGGAACATACAGTAGTAATTTCATCCTACCTATTTGTGTGTACAGAAAGAAAATGCAGCTATCGAGGTTCCTTTACTCCACTTACATAATCGTTTATATTTTGAATGTAGCACCAAAGTAGAAATTCCGTGGTGACCCTTAATATATTAAATAAAGCTTAATGTCTTCTTAGAAATGACAATACAAGGACAATTTTTAAATTCTGTTTAGCAACCAATCAGATAAATGTGTCATAGAGACATATCAATTTTTCTGAAAATTTATCTGTTAGTATTTTAAAAGAGAATGGTGAGCCCCTTAAAGAAGAAAAGACATAATTGAATAACAGGTGCTGAAAAGCAGTAACTTTTGCCTTAAAACTACTGACTTTATGGACATTACTTTTAATTTAGTTTTACTCAATGTGCAGCAAAGCTTTGCAAATGTATGACCCACTTCACAAAATCTTTTTCTTTCTCATCAGCAAATGAGATTTCCAAAAAGGCTAAGCAAGAATTGTGAAGAGCCTGAATGCTCCTAAGGGACTCTGTAGTACCCAGGACTTAACATGCACTCGGCACTTGTGCCAGTATTAATTTATGTGTTAAAAGTTCGAGTCTTAGTTAATGCCTTATCTCAGTCTGAAGGCTAGTATTTAATGTGACTGATAAAGAGCTGCCGAGGTGGGAGAGCATGTGAAACTGCATTTTCTTACTAGTTAGATACTTCCTTCCTGTTCAGTGAGTAGACTCGTAGGACCAGTGCAGAAGCACCCTTAGCTGCAAGTTAGCCCTGCAGTAGGGAGGCTGATTATTAATTTGTGCCATTGCAAAATTTGTATTTCATCATTTTGGAGGGTCTTGTTATTAAATCTATGTACTTTTCTAAAAAATGTCATGTTAGTAAAGACCTAAATAATTAAACTGAAGAAGTTTTGAAGAAGCTTTTGTTCATTATCCTAACAAAAGCTTGCACAAAAACATTTTTAGTAAAGAAGTCTTTGCTGCTATTTTATTACACTTTTTTTTTTTTCAAATAGAAAAAACTTGAAGCCTTGAAAAAAGTAGTTAGGTTTCCATAATGGGACAATTGCTAGAAGGAAAATATTCCCCTGCTTTTGTTGTGCAGGCATTACATTCTTTGAGAACACTGACATTTTTTGTGTGCATGCTATCGTCTCTTTCTCTGCCTACATATATCTTTGGAAAAAGCTCGCCCATTAACCAGCAACAAACTGAATGATGGTAACTTGTCCTTCAGATATAATCACCTTTGACTTTCATGAAGATTTAAAAAAAGGCCTAGAAAATTCCTAGGAAAAATACGAATCTGTAGTGACCTGTAGGAGAGTGTAAAATTAGTATGTGGAGGTGACCCTGTCCATTCATGTATGTGGGTGGTGGGGTGTGTGTGTGTGTTTTTAAACAAGTGAGAGGTTTTACATGGCAGGTTATGTGGGCCCTGCCAACTCCAGGGGAGCAGACTGCACAGCTCCTTAATCCATGCAAAAGTAAAGGATAAGCAGAACATACTCTGTGCATTTTCTGTTTCTTAGGCAGAATAAGCTGGAGTAGAGAGCAAAAAGGCAGATTTGCAATGATCAAAAAAGAAACCAAAACAACAACAACAACAATTCTACTTGGCTTTGGGATGCATTTTGCTAATAACAAAAGTGTGAATCCTGGCTCACAGGCTTGTGCACAGAGTCTGACTATCAGCAGTTCTGGGGTGCCCATTGTACTACACTTAACAATTCTAGCATTCTTAGCACTTGAAGTTTAATTTACTATGAAGTTGCATTCAGGAAATGGGCATACTGCTGACATATCACTCAGCTTATTCTTGAGAAACAGATGCTTTCCGTGTTCCTTTGTGCTTTATGGTGCACACAGTGAGCATGCATCTGGAAGCAGAGTGCTAGACAGAATATAGAAGTTGCATGCAGTTGTGCATGCTGATAACCCTGTAGGCAAGGCTGGCTCAAAATGCCTCCCTCGGCACGGGCACCCCTTCCTGAGGGCTGATCCAGCTGCCTGTGAAACGGCGTAAGGAGAACTTCTGGTAAACAACTTCTTGGCAGCGAGGCTGACTTAAGTTGTCTGTCATCTTCCCCATTTAAATATTCATTGCACAAATGCCTCAGAGGGCAGTTCCAGGGGAGAAAATGAGTGGTCTTGGTGGGCGGGAGACATGACAACCACCCAGGCAGCACTTTTGGATGTTTCGCTGCAGTCTGCATTAAATCAGTGAAATATCTGAGGTTAAGAAATCAATTTCCTTGCATCCCTGCTCTCCCTCCTGGACTGAAACCCTACCAAACTACAAAAAAACTACGAGTTTGTGAGGTGATTTAAATGGACTGCTCTTCTTTAGAGCACAACATCACAAGCAGACGGATTAAAGATTTCAGAGGTGGCTGGGATGGCCATGGGGGCGAGGAGGGACAGGGACAAGCGAAGCAGTGCGTGCACTGGCTTTGCTTCCTGGAGTATTAACCAAGTAGATCTTTAGGCAAACACAGGCAGTAGATAAGAATGGTAGATGCAGGCAGACTGGACTGTCTCAATTTTGGAATTTGCCAAATCTTAAAGTTCATCATACGCCAAATATTGTGAATAATTACATAAACTGTCAACAACAGGATTTACAAGGCAGTCCCAACACACACTTTTAAATGTTTCATTTTTTTGACATTGTTTTTTAATTCTTATCATCCTTGTGTTATGGAAAAGTGCTTGCAGATGCTGCATTGCAACTGGACAACACAGTTTCAGAAGTCAGAGCTTGGGATTGTGGAGATTTTTCTAAAGAATTGGTTTGGCAATTTTCTCAATATTACTGGGATTATTTATAGAAGTAAAAATAAGAAATAAGCTCTTCAGAATTAGTCATTTGTCATATTTGCTCAAATATCAATAGCACTAAAATATTAAAATATCTGGAAATGATGCTGCTACCTAAGTAATCTCTACTGCTTTCCTGTCTGGATAAAATATTTATATTGTTGTTTAATTAATACATTTTGATTGTTATTCCAATTCTTATATTAGCTCTAATGTAAATCTTTGCTAATTATATTGCTGCTTGGAGAACCTTCAAGGGAAATGAGCAGGGGTGGGAGCTGCCTGCTTTTCCCCTCGGTCTTTTCTTATAAACACTGTCTCTGCCTGTCAGCTATGGCAGATGGTGCATTTATGTCAATTACTTGGTAAACTATTTCTTCAAATGCACAGTCTCATATGTCTAGTTTCAAAAACCTCTTTACCATCTTAACTATTTTTTCATGAATACATCTGTGTCATGAATGAATTTATTATCACACTTGAAACAGAAAACTTTGAGATACTACTTTTTCAAGCTTTTGCTGTCTCAGACAGCCTTAAAAGGAGCAGAAGAAGAGTTTTGCAAAGACCTTCATCTCTCTTCAGCCTTCATCAGGAGCAGAAGAAGAGTTTTGCAAAGATCACCCTTCATCTCTTGGCAGATAATGAAAAGCTGCTTCGCTGCCTGGGCAAATGGCGTGGTTTTGGCTAGTGTGTATGCTGTTGAACTTGGAATGCGTAAGGATCCAAAACTGATTCAGGCAGACTTAACGGCCTGAAAAGGCAGTAAGGAAAAGGAGCTCATGGCTGCTGAAACAGCACTAGCAAGAAACCTGTTCCTGTGGAACACTGCTTACCTTCACTACCTAGATCTAGAGAAACCAAGATCTATCAGCCAGATAGGCAATTCCCATTCCTTGGTCAAATCAAAAAAGCAAAATCTAGAAATATGTACCCTTGCTTTGCACATGTGACTTAAAGGTGGGTTTGGGTTTGTTCTGTCCTTTAAAAGCTTCTATTTTTGACAAGAACCCAATTTTTGCAGAAAACAATGTTTTGCATTGAAACATGTTCTGTGTTCCAGGGGAACTGGGTTTTTTGATAAAAAATATACTTTTTTATGCTCCTATAAAGCATTTATTACAAATCTGAGATGGATTTATTAGCAAAAGTACATTCAGAAGAGGTGAGTTTTGAGTATTAAGATTTGAGTATTAGAAAAATGATTAATGGGAGGTCTATAAAATTTTCTATTTGGAAATTAAAATCCACCTGTTAAAAATGAAGAAACAATAAATGGTTTAGAGGTTCTTTAACCCTCTTTACATTTTTAGTGTTTTTTTTTTTAATCTAGCTGCTCGTAGAAACATAAACATAACTTTAAGAGAAGCCAAGAGTGAACTGTTCAGAAATCCTACTCAGTTTTTCAAATCTATCACATAGAACATAGGTTCTCAATAAATTGAGCATATTACTATTTGCTATAGGAGGATGAGCTAGAAGTACAAGACATAAACGTGCATCTCGGTACATTTCTTTCAATGTCTCATGAACTCCAAGCTTCCGTTCATTTATTTTCAGAAGTCACATTTTCTCTTAGGAAAAGAACTCACAAAATGTATATGTACATGTCTGTGCATCTCTCCTTAGGCCCTAGGAAATCTACTGCTCTTTGAAATATTGTAAAGTCATTCCGAAAATCTCTGCTTGATACAAAAGCAGAAATTGGATTTTCAATTGGAGCAGTTATATTTAGATTCCTACTTACCAACTACAAAAATGATATTTGACTTCCTCAGATCTTCTGGAAAATCTAAAATGAGAATAAAATCCAGTTATAATGGCTACTCATTTTAATCTTGTCTACCTTTCCCACCATGTTGAATAATATTCCCACAGTCATCTGTGTGAAATTTTTCTTTTCCTTTAAACTAGGCTTACTTTCTGCTAATGCTCTGAATTTCAAAAGGAACCGTTATCCACAAGCTTATTTTTGTTGCAGCTTTGTCGTTGTCACTGCAGATGTGATAAAAAGATTTTACTTGAAAATTAGACCTTGCATAAGCACACCAGTTTAAAAATAAATAACATCAATAAAAAATGAGAAGCAGATGCATCTTGAAGTAATAATGTGTCTCCTGAGCAATTATATCTTTGAATAGACAATTGAATTAAAATAGATACAGAAGTGTGGTCACATTCCATTAAGATTTTATATTCAGTGCATTAAATATGAGATGTCTTAAATTTTACCTTAGTCTTAGTTTCGGGCATATTTATATTTCAACTAAAATCCAGGTTTTACTGTCACTTTAGCACCTAAACTACTGTGCTAACTTAAGCTCTGCCTTTTACTGAAATTATATTTAAAAAAAAAAAAACCTTCTGAGTTCCAGTTATTGCCCTGATTGTTATACCAATATTGAATGATACCTTGCAATGTCTGCTTGCATTTTATTATGGTTTTGACTTACTCACAACATGTATTCATTAACTACATATATATATATATTTACTTATTGCACATAGAAATGTCTGCAAAATTTCATTATATAATTAGAAGTAAAAGTTGTTCCTTTTTCCTAGAATTTCTTATAATCTTTCATCAGTCTTTTCAATAATTATCAATTTTGGAAAACACTTTTCAGATTTAATGCTGCCTAATAATATTTTTCTAATAATTTTGGATCCACAGTATAGGACTATTTATTCATATGCCCTGAAATGATGAAATATAGTTTGACACAATCTTTTTCCTATGAATAATCTAGATTTCCTTCTATGTAATTATTCACATGTAAGTAGAATCAAAGCTTTCAAAAATAAAATACAAATTTATAGTAAAATGAAACTTACCTCCTGTGTTCTCATAACAAGAAAAACTTGACTGGTCTTCCTCCTGTTAATTAAGCAATTGATAAATTGACTTTTTTGCATAGTTTGCATTTCTTCTTATATCTTTATTTGTATGTCTTCTCCATCTTCTAACCTCTCAAGCTTAATATATCTTGAGATAGGGTTAACAGTGACACAGGAACACTGTTAATACTGTTTCACTCTGCAGAACATAAGAATGGAGAACTCAAGATAACATGAGATGATTAACTGGGCCACGCCATAACCGTGAGGAACAGCTCCGTCTGTTTTAGTTTCCAGCTGCACGGTCCTAGCCTATCATATAGGTGACGAGTGCCCTTACTGAATTGCTTCCAAAGTAAATGTGGAAAAATAAACCCTTAACACTGGAAAGGTAACATCACAGTGTGTTCTAGCTGTGAACTACAACAGAAAGATGAAGGGAGTCTTTGGTCTAAATCAAACTGAATTTGTTGACATGTAGAATTCATTGCAAGCTACAACTTGTTATGAGGGCTGCTGAATTTTTAAGAGATTACACCAGGGAAATGGGGTACTTGATTTGTCCTCCCTTGTCCCCCTCATGCTTGGCCATTTAGAATTACTTTGTCATGTACTGTACAGTGTTGCAAACTAAGAATTATGCATGCTGGTCAGCAAGAGGGTCAGAGTAGACATTCTTTGCTCTTTTATAAATAATAAATTTACATATGCTGTGCAGAGAAAATTACATAGTGTCAAAACATTCAGATCATCAGTACTTTAATGTAAGAGCATTGAGGGTAATACATGCATGCTATAATACATTCAGATCATCAGTACTTTAATGTATTTATCAAATCTTGGTAAGAGCATTGAGGGTAATACGTGCATGTTACAGGGTTATTATGCTCAGTACTAGCATATGGCTACCAAACTCTAGATCTTTGGAGCCTGTTTGAGCATCCTGCCAGCACTAGTCACGGTCAGAATAGATGCTACATGAATAGCTGAAGTGAAATGAGCAGCAGTGCTGAATAGCACAGCTAACTGCTGACCGCTCTCATGTGTGAGACTCTTGCTCTATGTCTGCGGGTTCCTCATTATGTTCCTGTTATCACAGAAAGACAAGTACTCTTGGTTACAGGCTGAAGTACCATTACATGGATGGGATGGAACACACTCATTTTTGATTCATTGTAATTCTCAGCCTATTATCATGTAGCAGTAGGGCTTCTAACTGAAAAAATAAACAATTGAATTTGCAAAGTTTGCAGAAGAGTAATTCAAAAATGAGAGAATGATTTCTTCTCTACTATTTCACCTGTAGCATAGGTGTATTTTTTTAATCCTGCATATGTACGGGTATGCATTTATTTTTCTTTTTTCTATTTTTTTAGTGCCATAATATAATAGACTTTTTGATCCTGCAAAATGTGTTACATAAAGGCCTGCATTTTAGATTATGTTTCTTATTGTATCTTTGAAGGTTTACAAATCTAAGTATCTTTAGGCAACAAAATGTAAGTTTAAGTCAAGGTTTCTTTCAAAAATCATGATCACATTTACAAAACTACATTATGTTCAGATGAAAGCAGCATTACTTCTACCCTTTCAAATAATGCTCTGTTATCCTCTTTAATCAAAGAATAAAATTGCATCAGTAATCCTGGTGGGCTGCTCAGAGCAGCAAGTGATAATATGGGGAAGTTTACATTGGAGCAGCTATAACATTTTAGGAGTTAAACATGTAAAAAATAGAGATGTGTAGCTAAATAAGCTATTTGCATTTTTTTATTTGGCAAGCCACAATCAGGCTCACATAAGGATGAGATTATGAAAGGCTATTAGAGTTCTTTTTAACTGCCATTTAGGCAGTTAAGGCCTAAAGTTCTTTTTTCAGAATTTTCGGATATGTTTCATTTTTTAAAAACCACTTAAGAACATCGCTTCATGTGAATGGCACTACTGTCCCACTGAAAGCATCTTCCAAAATAAGTTTTATCATATTTCAGGGAATTTAAGTCATTCTACAAAACTTGCTTGCACAGAATCCAGCAATAATGAGAGATCCTGGACTCTAGGGAAGCTGTGAGGAGAAGTTAGGAGGAGTAAACTAGAAAAGAACTATAATGATCCTGGTTTTGATGCTAATGTATTCATTTGTGCCTGGTTTTCACAACTCTCTATGCAAACTGTAGTAAGAACCATTTGCCCCCTCCCTTTCCTCCCGTCTCCCCCAAGGCCCAGCCAGTTTCTCCGCTGAGCTGGTGAAGAGCTGGACGGGCTTCAGCAGCAGAACAGCTGCTGCCTTCCGGGGACAGCTGTTTCCACTGAGCTGACAGCCGGGTGAGGACAATATTTATTTTATGGGTCTTGGGCTCTGAAGAAAGGTGGGTCATCTGCCTTCCAGCTGCCTTTGAAGCCAGGTAACAGATGTACAAATATTGTTTGCAAACATATCAATTAGTGGGGCATAGCTCATGGTATAACCAACCAACCAACCTATCTAAGCAACACACATGAATGACACAGGAAGAGATTCTTTATAGCTGCTGTCATCATTGGAAAATATAGATTAACTTCTTAACTAACTCCTTATTGCTAAATAACTGACTAGTGCTGGGTACTTTGTAGACTAATGAGTTTAACTTACTGCCTATAATTGCTACAATGTGCTGAAACAGTTCTCATAATGGGATAAACTGAGGGTAAAACACTGCATATCGTAAGGAAATGATACAAAATTATTCTAATGTTTGACCTATGCTAGTAATAAATTGGGAGAAGTCATATAAATTTAAAAAAGCAGTTTTTTTTTTTTTATCTAATGGAGGGAACATCTTTGTCAGGATTTAACTGCAAGTGTCATGTGAATGTACGCTGCTTACTGAAGGGAGAACTCTTACCCACTTGCATCCTTGTTTTTAATGTTTGTTTTGTTTTTTTTGTAATGGTACAATAAAACTCTCTTATTAGCTTGTTGCTGTTGAATATTTTACTAAAATGACTGTTAAAAGCGTCTGCTTTTTTTAATTCAGATTTTCAACTTCTGAACTTTACATGTTAGGTTTGCAAAAGGTAGATGAATCACTTTTTGTTTACCAGATTCATTTGTTTACCTGAGTCATTTCTTCTTTCTTGCTTGGTGTCAAGCAACATTTTGATTAGAAACTGAAATTCAATTAAGCTGTGCAAAAATGTCACTTAATTTAAATATCATGTCTAAGGTAACATTTGACAATTAAGGGGGGAGAAAAAGCACATTATTTCTTCAGGAGCACTCTTGTATGCCTTTGACTTTGACAACTTTGTAAAAGGAGGGAAAAATATATTTAACCATATTTGTGAAGTGCTTAAGGAAAAAAATAAGATCATTCAGTGCTTCAGCAATATCAATGCACTTCAATATAATTGAAGATCTACAGCAGACTAAGAGAATAAAAGTGAATACAGGCTGCTTCTGCATTCTAATGCTTATTTCCTTTGTTTTAGAAAATCATATCCTTTTTTCCCTTTATTCCTTTCCTCTACAGACTGAATTCCTCACCAGAGGGCCAAATGAGACTGAATTAAAAATGCAGCATGATTGTTGCTTAAAATTATGTTCAGATTTCAAGTTGAATTTGAGAATGTAAATATTCAAAGGAATGTGTCAGAGATAAATTATTTAAATGAAGACTCTGCCAAGAAACTATCTGCTGACAATTTAACTTAATGTTTAATTTAAAAAAAAAATGCAACATATGAAAATGCAACTAATAGGGAATGACACGATTCATACATTGGAAGGCGGGGCAAGAACTGACTACATAGTTTAACCATAGCGATCTCCTCATCTCCTTTGATGCAGACACAGGTCTAGAGTCGTTGCTTTCTTGGGATGCTGTACTAGTGTATTTATCTCTTTTCTGTTCTCAGCTATGCAGAACACTAGTACAACTCTAACATTTTATTTCTACAAAGAACTTCTGGGAATAGAGACAAGGGCATTCTTGCTATTTTATCAGAGAGGAAAGGCGACTTCTCCCAGAGAAATCATTTCTATAGAAACTGAACCAGGTTTAAGACTTAGATTTCCAGTTTCATTTTTTTTAGCTTGTATTATGTTTACTTTGAATTCTTATTCCTTAATTAAGTAGTGTTACATTAAATCTCAAATGTTTGCAGATAATGCTTCTTTACCTTGTACCCTTAAAATAACTTTTCTTTAGTTGTCAATGACATAAAATTTCCATTGAATAAAAATAGTCTAGGAAATCAAAAAGCAGTTTGAGACGTCCGTTAAGTATTAGGTATCATTTAGGTATATGTAATTTGTCTGCTTAAGCATAGCCCAGTGTGTTTACAACTGGATTAAACAGGCATATCTCTAATCATAGAGAATAGTTTTTCAGATTACAGATATAGTTATAAAACTACGTATAAAAACATAATCAGTGAGTGATTAATCACTTAACCCCTGCACATCCACTATGCTTTCATTCAGCCTGTGAGATGTAAAGGCCCCAAGCAAGATCACCACGCAAAGTTCAATATCAGAATGAAAATACTGTGGCTTGTCAAATCTTATCTGTGGAATTTGTCAGTGTCCTCTCACCGAGTGAATGTTTGGTTTTGATGAGATGCACTGCGCTAGTTGCAGGTTTTATGTAGGACAATGGTCCCCGGGAAAGGATTTTATGAACCATGCAGTTGCTTGCCATTAAATTTGATCTATGATTCAAATCATTTTTTGAGGCTGTGCCGCTTTCTGCAAGCTGAGTGTTGAAGTGTGCCCCTGGAAAGTGCTCTGCCCTGGTCCGGAGCTAATGAACATGTGCAAGTAAGCGAAGTCACAAGGAATAAACGAGTGCATTTAGACATCAAGGCTTTTCTTTTCCCAGCAGGCATATCTTCTTAAGCAGTTCATACCACTCGGCACAGTGGAAATTCTGGTGTCAGAAGGGACTAACTGTAATTAAGATGAGGGCTGGGTAGCCCTATTTATGATGACTGTTTGTTTGGAGAGCCTAGTATCTGGAGTGCAAGTCATGTTTAAAAAAATAATTTTGTAATTGCAGC